ACACAAAGGGATATCTGTGCTCTGCCAACCACGGGTATCGAAACCCGGTTTCTAGCAGTATAAGTTCGCAGACATACCGATGTGCCACTGAGGGGCTAGACGTGCTGAGAGCTACTAATGGTGCACACCGACATGTCAATAAAAACTGTGTGAGTTGGGCTATACGATTTTGAAAACTGTATAGTTGTATTTCCTTAGCTATTTAATTATTAAATTTTAAAATAGGTCACCCTATACATTTAACTAGCTATACCCATTACCAGGTTGATTTGATTTTGAGCTTCGCTTTTAGTACGTAGCTTACTCTGATCGGGAATTATCTATCTATGTGAAATGCACTTATGTATATTTAATTAAATTATGTCTCGTTATGAAAAAAAACAAACACGTGATTTTTTTTATTTTACCCCGAATTCCATGCCTCCATAAAAGGATGACGTGGCGTGTACGTCAATTGCTCTACGTTTTACAATAAAACGTTCAATAAATCTGCATACTACTTGAAATACAGTCATAAGAAGTGACTGCGGCTTTCTGAATTGTATTAAACACACTGGCAAAAACAGCAAGCTTTTACGTACGCCCTTCTTCTTCTTCTTTTTTTGAAGAGAAAAATAGCAACAACAACAACAAACTTCTCGTATGTCCTCTCTTTTTAATTAAAAGTTTTGTTTTCTGACGTCATCTAGCTTTGTGCTTAATAACAAATAACAAGAACTCAGCATGTCTAACCGATATTCGATTTCAGTCCACATTCGTTACAACATGTCCACAGTTAAAGTTGCGATGACAACCATTATCATGGTCTTTAGCTCCGTGATGTTTATTATATGTGTGCGACACACAATGTCCTTAACATACCCCCAAAGAAAGAAGTCTAGTGGATTGATGTCTGGCGAGCGCGGAGGCCAAGGAAAACAATAAAAACTCTTTTGCAACAGTGGCGTAGCTGAGTTAACCAAACTGTAGAGTGAGAACAATTCTGAGCAGAGATACTAAAGCATTGCTTGAGTGATAATAAATATTCATTGGTATAGGATAAGACATTCGCCAGATATTACCACAAAGTATAGTGTGTAGGAGAACAGTAACCACGGTACATCTAGTTACGTAAGATTAAAGTTTCTTGCAAAGTAGTTTTCATTTGTTATAGCATTTTGTTATACTGTTTCTGTAATATACAAATACGTAATAAAAAAAACTTATTTCGCTCTATATTCACCTTTAACTTACCTGTTTTCTCTTCAAGTTTTGTGTGCGTTCAAATTTGGCTTTAAAGTCTTCTAGGTGTTTTGCCAAGCTTTCTCTGTCCTCTTCGTCTTTAGCCACCATCACATATGCCCGCCAGTTGGCAGAATCAAACCCCCAGTGACACGTGCGATTTTCTCTTGCACGATGTGCGTGACAGACAAAGACCCCGGGACTCATTAGTGCATGGCACTCAGCACATTCTATACATCTCGCAAAAGGTGCAGTGTAAAGATCAGGGACAAGGGTTCCTGAACATTTCCCAAAGCATCGATGAAACACTCGGAATTTAAAAAAAAGTTTCTGCTGAACGTGCAGTTCTGATTTTGGTAGAATCGCGTATCGCAGTGCTGAACATAATCGCTCTGCGTCGGTCTTTGTAATGAGTCCACAACTCGGCGCACTAAAAGGTAAAATGTTAGTTAGCTTCAGTACTTCCAGTTGTTCTTGTGTGCAACGAGAGCAAAATATGTGCAGTTCATCGCAAACACTGTTTATCTGTTGCAAAGTGAAGTCCCGGAGTACGGTGTTCAGAATCTGCGGGAGACAGAGCCGTTTCTCACCGCCGACAGTGAAGCAAGATATAATTTCACCCTCTAAAACGGTGTCAGACCTTTTACAGCTGCTGTCCGGTTGGGTAAAAATCGGGGGTAGTTGAATGGGAAACGGCGGGGGCATCAAAAACGGGTCATAATCTGATTCCGATTTTTCTTTTGGTTCTTGAGCCACAGATTTTTCGATAACAGAAGCAGGAGAGGACCCACGTCCCAAAGAGTCTACTGCCGCAAGTCTTTCCTTTAAGAACGGCATCGTATCTACTGTCTTTTCCGTAATGGCTCCTATCTCCCAGGTAGCCATGAAAGTATTAGGACCAAGTAGGCTACCAAGTGCCGCTGATTGGTAACTTTTCAATACCTTCTTTAAGTCCGGGGTGTAAGCTGTGTTCGAAGGTTCATCCATGCCGTTATCGTAGTGCACGTTCGGATTTACGAAAGTCCAAGTCTCGAGTACTGAAAACCACTGACTGCTTTTACCGCCAAACACTGGGGAGCGAAACTAGGTAGCATCAAACTCGCCATACGGCAAACGTGTGTGTGTGTGTGTGTGTATCTGAGTGCGTCTGCTCTCTTAGACGGTTCACGCAGACGTGAATAAACCTTCCTACTTCGAACAATCCGCAAGTGCAACCACGGTGCCGCGTTCAGTAGTGTTGACAGGTTCAACTCTTGCGTATTTTCTAGCTGTCTTGCCACACTTGTTTCGAATAAAAAATAACATCTAGAGAGTTGTCTGGACCTCGTAGTTAAACGTGCGAACGCCCCTCTTGTCTGTTGCATCTGTTAAGTTAAACTTGTAGATTTATATTTAAACACTACGGCTCTTCCTCCTACTTTTATTCGACCTCTTCGGCTGTTACGAGGATTAAAATGAAAAAAATGAAAATGGTTCTATGAAAGTCAGAATGAGTTTAAAGCTATGCTTTATCTGTCCAAAGAACAGTGATAACTGTTAAATGTTGTGCGATTTCTAATAATGGTTACTTTCCCCTTTTTCTGTGTTTGTAGTGTATTTCCTTGGTCATTTAAAATTTCAATGAATATTCTCATATTCTTTATTATTCTTTCATATATATTTATACTCCACTCATGTACTGATTGGACTCACTGCAAAATGTACAGACGTCAGTATAAAATTAAAAGCATACAGGGAAGAAAAAAATCATTTAAAAGCTGAATTATTAGTTAAACAATAAAAGTTTAATGTGCGCTTCGAAAACTTTGAATGAATAAGGTTCAACACATTTTACATCTTCGTCCTTTAATTTTGTACAGCACCAATACTCCAGTTAGATGTGACATAGTATGATATGTTTTCAAAGTGATGTAAGCCTGGCATGGCCAGGTAGTTAGGGCGCTGGACTCACAATCTGAGGGTCGCGGGTTCGAATCCCCGTCACACCAAACATACTCGCTCTTTCAGGCGTGGAAGCATTATAATGTGCCGGTCAATCCCACTATTCGTTGGTACAGGAGTAGCTCAAGAGTTGGCGGTGGGTGATGATGACTATCTGCCTTCCCTCTAGTCTTTCACTGGTAAATTAGAGACGGCTATCGCAGATAGCCCTCGTGTAGCTTTGCGCGAAATTCAAAATAAACAGACATTTAACAAACCTCCCAGCGGCACAGCGGTATGTCTGCAGACTTATACCGCTAGAAACCGGGTTTCGATACCCGTAGTGTGCAGAGCGCGGATAGCACTTTGTGTTTGTTTGTTTGTAATTAAGCAC